TTATTTAATCACATTGTAGTCAAATCGAATTTCAGAATAAGCATTTCAAAATAACACTTATTTAGAAATGAATATAATGTAATTTAGTATTAATTACGTGAACCGTACTGATTGTATAATAATTTTAAATAGACATGTTTTATGTAGTTTTGAACAATTAAAATTTCATATAATATTTTCAATAAATTAATATAGGTAAATTGTATTACATATTTTTTTTTCTAAACAGTAGAAATATTATTGAACGCGCAGAAATGTTCTAACGGACAACCACCAGCTGAATACAAACAGCAAACAGTTGAATACAAAGCCAACAACTGAAAAAGTGGGAGGACAAGTCAAAAGACCGCCTAGAACCGACCCCAACATGGTAATACTCGGGAACAGAAAATACAACTAGAAAACAACACACAAAGACCCCAACAGGGTAATGACCGAGTGTTGATCCCAACAGGATAATAAGTTGACACTCGGGCGCACAGAGGTCAAATGACCCAGACCAAAAACACGAACCTAAACAATACTAGCACAAGCACAAGGAGAAAAAACCTAAGACAAACAGAACTAATCTACCAACTAACAACGCCCTTCCACAACGAGTAAGCCAAACCCTGCACAAGACACCAATGAAACAAGGACTAACCATCCCACAGCTTGACCCTAAATTCGAAGCGCCACTCCCGCCATTGCCTAATGCCTAGCAAAGGACGAGCCTCGAACCTCGAACCACTCCAAGGAGGAAGTCGACCGACAACCAGAAGAGAATCAACCAGCCCCCCACACACCTGCTACCCCGGAACCTGGCCAACACCACTGGCCTGAATCTTGGCATGCCGGCATCCCGAAACCACAACACTAGCTCAATAAGGACCCAGGAGCGAGAATTGAACCACATCAGCCCCCGGCCACTCGAAAGAGCCGAGCAACCAAGGTCGCACCTAACACTCCAACCACACCATCCTTCAGCAGCTGGACCCAAATCGGTGGAGAAGCTGTCGAACCCGCCATCGACCACCATACTGAGACATGGCCGACAAGACGACGCCGGGAAATCACTGTCGGAGCCGAGAATCGGACCCACGTCAAAAATTGAGTCATCGAATATTATTTACAATTATTGTTTAATGGGTATTTTAACTTATAAATATTAACGAATATCTCTTAACTGTAAGTAAATTGTATTACATATTGATTCTGTATTTTTAATTTATAAATATTAATGAATATCGTTTACCGTGCATCGCACGGGATTCGTACTAGTTACTTTTGAAAAAGTTCCGGTCCAATGCGATGAAATTGATTAAAATTTGGGTATACTTTAAGGTACAAAATTGATTTTTTCCCTTTACTTGAATAAATATATATTGAAAAGCAGGGAGGGAAAGGCAAAGAGCACCTAGGCACTTGGCAAGGGCTAAACCCCAATTTCAGATCAGTCGAAGATAGCTGCAGTCTCTGTAATCACGACGTGTTCTTCCAGGCGATCGGTGGCGTTTTCCCCTTTCTTCTGCTTTTGGTGCGTTACGCCTCACCTTCTCAAGCTCCTGTACATTAATGCTGAAACATTTTTGTGCCTGTCGCAATCTTTCCCTCTATTGTCTGTGAGTGTGTTTGGTTTGTCATCTTGAATTCCTGATTGGCGTTCAAACGACACTGATTTCACGGTGGCCGTCGGATCAAAAGTGTGATTCAGTGAGGAGCGGAAGTGGGCTGGCGGCGCCGGCGGATGTTTGCACTTGGTTATGGCGGAGCCACCATCGCAGCTGATGCAGAATCTGAAAGAGAACAAGGTCTTCAAACTGGCCTTTGCCGTGGCCGGAATCATGGCCACACTTCTTATATATGGAGTATTGCAGGTAAAAAAAATCTTCTTGTGGTGAATTGTTTCTCTAACCGATATCAAGGTGACACTTTTGTGACCTGATTTTAAACCTATCTAGGTTAGGAATTGTATTATCTTCAGAATAAAAAAAAGGTTGAAAATAATAAACTTTTTATGGAAATCTCGTGTTGGTTTATTTATTCATTATTATTATTATTTTTAATCTTTAGCTAGCTTGTTAAAATCTGTTTGTTGAGAAACTGGATGAAAATTGCTTGTTTCAGGAAAAGATTATGAGAGTTCCATATGGTCCCGGTAAAGAATATTTTAAGCACTCATTATTTCTCGTCTTTTGCAACCGGATCGCTACATCGGCTGTATCTGCTGGAGTCCTACTGGTAACTGTCATCCTTACCACACCCGTTGATTTCCTTATCATGCATATTATGTTTGTTTAACAAGTAGTTAATGATTTTTGCACCTTGACATCTTTGTGATAAAATTGGTTTACTAGAAAATAGCTTGGCTTGCTTTGCGTCCATGGCATAGTAACGCTGTTGCTATTGAAAAAACATAAAACTGTGGCTTGCAAACTGCAAATTGTTTGGTACATGGTAATAAAATCACAAAATGCATCAGTTGGATTATTGTAACTTCAAGGGTTGTATATTTGAGTGCATAGTATTTAATCCTTCATTTATTTTCCAGGCAAGTAAAAAGGCATTGGACCCTGTTGCTCCAATTTACAAATATGGTGCTGTATCAGTGTCTAATATACTCACTACAACTTGTCAGTATGAGGTGAGCTTTATTCATTGAGTAGAAAGATGACGGCAAAACCGTATGCTGAATTACTGCAAGCAAATGGTCTTCTGTTATTTACTTTTAGATTGATTGGTTCGTTTTTTAAGTATATATTATATGTTAAGATGTAAAGAGAAATGCTTACATTTCCTTTCTTTCTTTTGTTCTTGGACTTACTTACTCCAGGCCCTTAAATATGTGAGTTTCCCTGTGCAAACACTGGCAAAGTGTGCCAAAATGATACCTGTAATGGTGAGTGTTTAGAATTCTCGTATCCGCTATTTATTTATTAAACCCCATATTATGGTAAATTTCTTTAAATTTTGGTAACCCTCCCACATACCCAATAAAGTTTAACCTATTGTGATTCTTTAAAAATGTGCATGTGGGGCGAGGAGATGGAGATTATCAAATAGTTAATGGAAGATAACAGTTTTGGTTTTGGAAATGATGATGTTGGATTCCTGTTATGCTTTTCAATATCTTTTGATTTTATTATTATGGTAATACCTTCATTAAGGAAGATTATCATTTAGTCACATTTGAAAGTGGCTTTAAATAAATCCTATACTGCACACTTCCTGACCACTAGAAGAGTATAAAAACTCAATGCGAAATTACAAATTAACTACTTCCATAGTAGTAGAAGAATATGCAAAGTGGACAGTGACTAAAATTCAATGAGAGCAAATATCTTTTTCCTGATGCCCAAAGGTGGAAAAGGTTGACATGGTTTGACGAATTTTCTATGTCAAACTTTCTTTGTCGAGGACTATTTTTATAGAATCTCTACATCTGCTTTGCATAGTCTGGTACATGCTCTTATGTCGTCCTTGCTGATTGTCCTTGTCCTCATTCCCAATTTGTGCCTCTTCTCAACATTGAACTGTTACTTCATCACCAACCATGAGGTCAAATGACTACTTCATCAAACAACCAGTCCATATTTTCTAAAACCCACATGGGATAGGGGTATTACATTGCTCTCCAAGTTGAAATATGTAATAACCCTCAGCCGAGAGATCTAATCTTGGGTAAAATAAACACTTGGACAATATTTTTAATTAATCATCATACAGAAAATCTAGCAAATCAACATTGCCAAACCTGATTCATGTAAACGTGTGGGTTTATCATGCTATTTCTTAATAAGGGGTAACTTGTGATATTTTTCAATGGGTTGCATTTTATATCGAGTAGCTGTTATGCTGGCCCTTAGAAACTTGGTGCAAGTAAACAATGTTTTGTTCTATTTCTCCTTGTTACACATATGTTAAACTCTCGTCATTGAATAATAAAACTCTGACTACTAACTAAGTGATTCCTTACACTAGTAAGAGTGTCGTTCTTTGTTCAATGTTTATGTTTAAATCTGGAAGCAAGGACGTAAATTCTAAGGTTCTACTAAAAAGACTAGTCCTGCGTAAATCTGGAATTGTCGCATTTCACAGACTTAGTTGACTTCATGAATAGTAAATTCTGATTGTAGTCTGGTACAGTTTTTGACATTTTAGGATGTGTGAAAGTTGCTCAACTTTTCATTATATCCCATTATATTTTATTAATTTTGGGTGCAGATTTGGGGCACTTTCATCATGCAAAAGAAGTACACTGGACGTGATTATCTATTTGCCTTATTTGTAACACTTGGATGCTCGATTTTTATATTATTTCCGGTATGTTATTCATCCTTTCTTGTTATGTCTGTATGCCAGTTATTTCCTTGGAATGTTAACAAAAAGAGCAAAATTTTAATGGGATTATTGGTTTTTCCAGTTCATCTTGCTACTACTACATTCTTCAGATACTTAAGAAAACCATAGAAATGACAATCTCATTTCATTATCTAAGAATGTTTAGTAATTTAAGAAGCATAAATTTTTCTAAATATGACTTGTTAAGTTCACATTGAGACCATTAGTCATGTTTCAAGTGCTTGAGAATAGATGCTATACCTATACCACGGCTATCTTACTATTATCAGATTGAACCTTAAATGATGAATTAGCTTCGAACACAGAATGAGGGATTTTACAGCCATTCAGACTGAAGGAATGATGGAAAAATAAGTTGAAGTTTTCTCTGTTGTGCCTTTATTCTCCAAAAGTAAGTAGGTCAATAGCCTTTCTGGTACTTGTGACAGTCAGCAGGGTGATAAATAATTGCTGTTGTCAGTAACTACCAGTCTTCGTATATAATAGTTTTGCTTGCATCTGAAATGTGAACTACCAAGCAGAAGTTGACATGTGAACTACCAAGCAGACGTTGTCATGAGAACTATCAGGATGCTCAATCTTCAGAATATTATTTTGATATCATAAATCAGATCATACTCGATCAGTGAGATTTATGTGGCTTAGTTGTTAACTTTATATATGTTTTGTGAAGTTGTTTAGTTGACAGGTAGCTATAATTTTACTGAGTGCAGGCAGAAGGTGATATCAGTCCATACAGTAGAGGGAGAGAAAGCACAGTTTGGGGTGTTTCTTTGATGATTGGTTATCTTGGGTATGATAAATAAGCTCATATAAAGCTTGTACGCATGTAACTAAATTATTCTTAAGTAGAAACTAAAGCATGTTTGTTGCAAATATGCTTTATTGTCTGATTTGATTATCAATTATGTATTGCACACCACAAAGTTTATGAAAAACATGATCTCCCTCCACAACGGAAGGAATGCAGTGTACTTCTAGAAAAGATCCAATCATTGGGATTGATGAATTTGAAGAAGTGATGATGTTACTATATAAGTTGTGCCTATTGACTGGAATATTCTACCTTGTTTGGCATGATAGTATATATATTCTCTCTAGCCAATGCATTAGAAAATGGGAAAAATAAACCTTTGTTGTTGGATGATGTTCAGGGCAAGTTATATCTTCCATATGAATTTGTTGAATCTTTCCTCCTTTTAATAAGGTCATCATCCTCATTGCCCCAATCGCCTTTCTCCCAATATGGTTCTACTCTATGGAAATTAAATAAGTCCTAGGAACTGATCCCCTTCAGAATTAGTAACGAAGTGCCCATATGGCTTCTTCAAAGTGACCGGCTGCAGTTTTTTCCTGATTATCAAGTGTACAGTATTCAACGTAACCCTCTCCAAGGTCATGATCTTAATATGTATGAGTTGTACATACAACATGAATGTGACGAAGTATGAGTTTATATGCACCATTACTGTACTAGATTTGATTCTTTTTTCTTTTTATCAGTAGATTTGAAGTAATCTTTGGGCCAATAAAGCATGAGCTGTGAACAATGTCGTTGCAAAATACAATTCTTTATTAAGAATTTTAGTGATCATCTGCAGTGTGGTCTATTGGTTCTATATAATTTTTGAAAGACGTAGTTAATTCAGGAAAAAAAAAAAAAAAATTAAAGACCAACTTTATTTGCTATTTGCTATTTGGGCTGTTTGAGGTTCAGTATTATTTGTTGGGATAATTTATGCATCATGTTATCTTTTTGTTAATAATATTTAAAAGAATATGGATACTAGGGAGCTTACTGACAACTTAGGTTCATGAGACCTTAAAGAAGAAAATGGTATTTAATTGGCTGATTTTGGGGCAAAATATTTATTTTATTGGGCGAATACTGATTTATGAACTTATATGCCAACCAATCTTTGTTTACATTTCTGGAGGGGATGACTAGCCTCGGCTGGGTATAAAAGTAATACGGTAAAGTTATGATGAATGCTTTAGTGTGTGTCAGACATGACTGTTGCTCCTTTGAAGTTATGATGAAATCTTCCGAGAACAAATTTGTTCCTATATCTTCTGGCATCTCCGAAGAACCCCGCTCAAGTTGTAAGAATTATGTTGATTTCAAAACCCTGGAGATAAGAGAACCTACTATGTTGCGGGACTTGTGTAACACAAAACACTATTCTCATAGAATCAGCTATTCTGTTGCTCCCTGTACCAATATGCCATAGTTGCATGTCTCAATTTTTGCTCTTTATGATCAGAAATTTATCCCATACTATAGTAGTAACATATTACAGTTCTCCAGCTAAATTGCTAGACCAGGGTTCCCTATGTCTTATTGGTTTAATATCCTCGGTCAGCTATGCAGTTAACCTTCTCTGTGTACGATGATAAAATATATTTTTGCTGATTCTTGTTTCAAACCAATCAGTACTTATTCAAAACGCTTTTCAGGTTTGATGGCTTCACAAGTACATTTCAGGATAAACTTTTCAAGGGCTATGATATGGAGATACACAATCAGATATTTTACACGACATTGTGCTCTTGCATGATAAGTTTCACTGGTAAGATAAATGTTGGACTCATGATCAGTTTCACTGGCTATGATAGGTGAAACTCTAGCAGTTTTTACGACTCCTATCGAATTGACCTAATGCCTCCTTATAATTATGCAGAACTGTTTTGATGTTTTCATGAGTACTTTCTTCATGCATGGTTCACGAGTTTGTTTCTGTTACATCTGTACATGAATTTGTATTTTACCGGCTGATGCATTTATATGGTTCATATTGATTGATCACATAGGTTTAATCTTACAAGGCAATCTTCAAATGGCTATAGACTTTGTTATTCGGCATAACGAATGTTTCATTGATATCGCAATTCTTTCCACTGTAAGTCATTGAACCTTGCTATTTTCCCTTCCATATAAAACCTAGATATTACCAATCCCGAGTTAACTATTAACTAATTATTTTCTCTTTGTCGTTCCTCATTTGCGAACACATAATATTAAATTCCTCTTTGAAATAAAACACATTATTCTTGATGTTCCCTTTATTACCAGGTAGCAACAATTAGTCAATTCTTTATTTCCTACACCATTCGCAACTTTGGTGCTCTGGCCTTTGCCACTATAATGACAACGAGACAGGTATCGTAATTGGTCGATTTCATGAGGTGTTATCGACAAATATGCAAACGCCCTTATTACCACTCCAGCTGTTGTGCGGCACAATTGAATAGTTTACATACTTGTTAATGCAGTTGGTAAGCATTCTATTGTCCTGCCTGTGGTTTTCGCACCCACTCAGCTCGGAACAATTGATAGGAGCTGTAAGTTTTTATCTTCATGAATTTGCTTCTTTCTCTTTTGCTCCAATCTCTTCCTTTTGTTTTGTTTTTGTCTTGAGTTTTGTTTTGTTTTGGTTTTTGTTTTGTTTTGTTTTTGTTTTGAGCCTTTTTTTTTATTTTTTCCAATTACCACTGTTTCTCTTGGGTTTCATCTCTAGCTTACTCCAACTTGTTTGGGACTAAAAGGCTTTGTTGTTGTTGTTGTAACTCTATGTATGTTCTGTTTGTCATCTTGATTCCTTTCTTTTGTTTTGAACTTTCGGTCAGGTAATTGTATTTGGTTCCATATACTCAAAGAACTTCCTAAGACGTAAACCCAAGACACTGCCTTCACAACAGATGGAAATTGGGGATTCCAGTTCACCGAGAGCTAATAATGCATAACACATTTGCTTTCTAACTAGACTTTGAGATGTTCTCTCTTAACCAGTCCCTTATTATGGCTTGATCAAAGATTACCTTAACTTCTTCAACTCGGACGTGCTTTAGGAACTCGGAAGAAAAAAAACTGCTTTGCGTGGAGTAGTTTTACCTGAAGCTCCTGCAAGAATCAACTAGAAGCTGCTCAGGTTTTAACCTCTGCAACTGATTATAGAATATGGT